GGAAAATTGTGTTCATGTAAAGGCTTTCAAGGTCAGCCTCTAATGCTCAGGAATTTGACAGTAAAAAACCTATTGCCGCACATGGAAGCAAATAGAAGGAAATATTGTTTGAAAAAACAATATTTCCTTCAAGGAAGTGATGAAGCAATGCGATAGTACTGCAGACCCCAGCAGAGCTCCAACATCTGCCGCTGTGCAGGTCGCCATCCTCCGAGCCATCGAGCGCATTACTATCGTCGCATCCCTTGATTTATCGCGCCACTGTCTCCTTATGTACAGGGGCCCAATCCTCGGCAACAAAATCGAGCACATTTTGCCGTGATGGCTTCTTCAAGTTTCCTTTTGGTGTTCGCACTTCCTCACGCGTATACTGCTCCCACAAATACCGCATGGCGTTAGTGGGTGCATGCTGCTGGCACACAAAGCACGTCGGTGTCATACTCCTTGAATGCATTTGTGGTGGCTTGTGTCTTACGTATGGGTACCTGGTCCACCACTAGTAAGCGTCTCATGCTGTCGACGCTTGAGCCCCAGACTCTTAACAGCTATTCTTGCATTTTGTCTCATGTCATCCAGCCATTTTTCATGGCGGTGTAATGAACTATTTATTACGAATGGGAAAAAAAGTCAGTGATGTCATAAAACGAACTAGGCAACAATGTGACCCCTTGCCCCCATCAAACAAATTTTTCTGACCTGCTCTGCGAAGGTCCGCAAAGGCCCTGGCTAGAATTTTTTCGCTTTGGTCCTTGAAGACAATGAAGGCTGGCAGCTTGTGGCTGGTGGCGCAAGCAGCTAGGTAAACCGTGAAGCCTCGCCGGCCACATCCAGTGTTTGCAATCCATATGGTGCTTTTGCCGACCGACCATGTTATTCGTCCTGTTGGTGGGGTTGTCTGTTTGCACCATCGTCTGATTAATGTTGGCCATGTTACTATGAGGTGTAGCTGTTGCACTGTTGGGGCAAGTTGGCGGAAAGACCGAAAGGCACTTGCTGCCTGTGAAAGTTCGTCGGGCGACGTCTGGCTCTCATTCATAGCACAGCGCATTGTAACACCCAACAGTTGTTTTCAGCAATTTATGTAATGACTGATGGCTGCATGCTGTTAACAAATTTGACGGCCTCTTCGGGAAGAATCTGGTTGCACGTCCTGCACTTTTTTCGTGTTCAAGCTACTCGAAGAGTGCATTGTCAACTTGTTCGCCAAACACTGGTGCACCGTTACTTAGCTTCCATAGAAGTTTTTTTTCCTGTAGTTTAGCTGCAGCAAATTACAGAAATTGTTCTCCCATTCACGTATCTGCTTCCGGTCTAGCTTGAAATGTTGTGATTGCTGGTGCATGTTCTTTCCGTTTTCTTGATGTCGTCGAATAGCCTCGATTTTCTTTGCCACTGTGTAGGACTGCATGGGCATAGCTGACCCCTCACCACAAACACCAAGCAACAAATGGCACGGGGAAATCGGGTTGCACTGCAAAGCAGGATTGAATTGGGCTAACTGGATCGGGGAGGACACTTTCCTGAAATGGGGATATTTGAAATTGCCCATGAAGTTGGGGGCGGGGAGCGCTTGTACGGTTGGGGGCAGTTGCTAGAAGTTTTACGGTAGCCATTGAAACACAATGTTTATTATTTGGGGCATTGTCAAATGTACAATGCATGTGAAAAAGAATTTGTTTGCTTAATTATGAATTCCTTTATGTGCTTCAACCTCTTAGGAACACCAATCAATGCTTAAGTATGCTTTAAGACATCCAAGAGTGAATATAAAACCAATTACTTCTTAGGCGGTAGGCGTGAAAGTCGTTTGTGCTGAATACCGTCATTTCGTATGCTCCTGGAGGCAAGAAATACACCGGCCTTGATCATACTCAATGGATGAAAGCACGGGTCCCACAAGCAGTCTAGAGAATGCTTTAGGGGGAGGTGGCAAACGCTTTGAAAGCCTTGGTGTGCCGTGTTAGAATATTCAATATATTGAACAAATTTCCTGTTACCAGGTTTTGGGTCGATATAAATGTGCAACAGGGTATTTTTTACTTGGAGGCTCTAAACTGAATTTCACGTGTGCACAAAATATTCACAGTGGAGGCGCCAAAGCCTGGTGGCTATTGTCAAAAAAATAATTGTAGAAAAGCAGAAAAAAAAATCTTTGGCCCTGTTTTTCTTTATGTGTAAATTACTGCAGAGCTGCTAATAAGTGACCTTATTGAAAAACTCTCACGGGAAGGTCATCTTACAATTGTAATGGACTGGTGATACTGAGCTTGCAAAACTTACTTTTATTGTGATAGCAATTGTATGAACACTCTCGGCTAGATTTTGCCATCGACGTCTGCATTCGCCATCATTCATCGTATATGTATACGTATCTATATATATGAAAATGCAAGAGAGAAAAATGAATTGAAAAAGACTCGGGCGCGTAGAATCTAGCGTCCGACCTCTTGCTTGCGAGTGCGAGGTGTTAGCCACTGAGCCACAAAGGAGCATATCCTTCAATGTTGAAACAAGCTATTTAAATCTACCACTTACCGCTGGTTATGCCCGTCTCGGGAGAGCTATCGTGTTTTCAGCATCACCAGCTAGATGATGCAATGAGCGTGCATCGCCAGATCATCACGACGCGGCGGCGCGCTCTCTCATCTCCCGCGTGTACTTTGCCCCGCGGAGATGGGGGTGGACGCTCAAGCGTACGCGCTTATGTAGCGGTGATGCAAATCGTTTGCCTTGAGCTTTCACCAAAACGATTCTGTTCTAGTTACCGGGTGCACAAAGGTCATCGCACTTCGCTGCACAGTCATTGTTTGCGAAAAGGGCACGCTTTTCAGACAGAGCGAACTAACAACTGAGACACTTATTCATGTTCATCTGTACCTGTGAGTATGTTCCGGGCATTACTTGTTCTTGAGTAAAGTGGGGCACATTTCCATCTGCTTGGCATTCTGTGCCTGACCTTCCAATTAGTTGCTATCGCATTCATGCTGTACCTCTGCAGCAAAGCTGCGACTTTTTCTTCCTCACTTTTTTCTTGCAAATTTAATTGGGTGGTTTGATACAATAATGGCGGGTTGTACAAAAAGGGAATTGTGGGAGTCAAATATGAAAACTTTTAATAAAACTGAAAATAGGAATGGCTATATTTTGCTACAAATATTTTTGCTCTTTTTTTTGTCTTTGGCTGCATTTGGGCTACAGTTTCTCTGGCTTTTGGCGGCGCTGCCTCGTCTGACCTGGTAACAATTCTGCAGGGCCAACTTGCTGACAACCAGAGTTTGTGGAAAATAATAGAGCTTTGTGAATTGCAAAATTTCGGGTGTGAAGTTAATTCGAATATTGAAATGTCAATATGAATGGAATCGAACATTTTTTTAATATTTCTACGATATTTGTTTAGAATACTTCGAAGCAAAATTGCAAAAAATAAAAATAAAGCTCTTAAGCACATTCTTATGAGATAGCATCATGGAAGTGTTTCTTTTGGCTAGGTTTGAGAACTGCTGGTGGGGTGGTGTTTCATAGTTGTCCAATTAAGAATGAGGCAATGTGGAGGGTGCATTGTACTTACGTACATGATTTCATGCAACCAAAGTGGCCAACAACACTTAGCATGTGAAAGGCAAAGATGCCCAAGCCTCTCTCTCCTCCTCTTTCAACTTCCTGTGCAAGACCAACTGATGTGGCGGACAAGGGTGTGCTCCCTTCGAGTCTAGGAGTTCGAAGTCTGCCTTGTAGACTTCAATATATGGGAGCATCACAACTTTTGATGGGTAAAAATCTTCGGTGTCTGATTTTTTCGGAATTCCTGCCCAAACTTCAGATCCAAGACAGTAATAATTGCAGGAATGGAAGTGTTGCTCTAATTGCTCCAAACTGCTCCAAAAGAGAAACGTTGCTCCATGCTGCTCCAAACTGCAATAACTGTTAATAACTGCTCTGTACCTGCTCCGAAATGGCAGTTGGGGAAACTAAGAATAATGAAGTTAAACCATGTGACCATGTAGCGAGCCTAAATGAAAACTAAGATAACCTCTATACTGTCATTTAGTGTACAGCTAGTATAGGAGCGGTGTACTAGAATATTGGCAATGCTATGCGTACTAGCATTTTCTATGTACATTTAATATGGTTGTATATTTGTACTTTACAAGTAGACCATTTTGGTGAAATGCGTACGAGACTACTGCCGCTGTGACGACTTTGATATATATGTGACTCATTACATTTAGCACTTTCATCACCTTTGACCTCGTTTATGTCACAGGAACAAGCAGTTTGAATGTAAGTTCATTTAGCTTATTTGATTTCTTGAAATTTCAATGCTGACTACTTTCGTAAATTATCAACACTCATTGGTGTTCACTGACCGTACATCTGCCTAATTATATTTCCTGTAATTTGCTGTGATTAATATATGTGCCATATGTTTAATAATATTTTTATTTATGAGAGGCTTAAATTATGCAGAGCTCCAAGAGCCATTTGGAATATTTTGCTCTTTGCTCCGAAAACATTAATAGCTGCTCCACTCTATCACTTTTTCTGCTCCAAAAATAAAAATGTCACTTCCTTCACTGTCAATGAGCACCCCCCCCCCCAACACACTCTGTCTGCCACGTCTATCATCTGCATGTTGAAACCAGTGTTTTTTGAGTAAATACATTGGAGACTGTAGCAGAGCCTGAAAGGCTGCTTTGCCGCGATAAGAGAGTGTGAAGGGGTGAAGCGTATTGAGAATCCAAAAGTGTTAACGGTCAATCAGATGTTGACTGTGTCTTCTCAAAGATGAAATAGTAAAATTCCGTTGCAAATTGTATCGAACAAACACTACTAGAAATGTATTGCAAATTTTTAATATTCCCACGCCCCTAAGTATGTGCATCATGCTATGTTGAAGTAAATGAAAGATGGTACACTTCAAGTGTGAACCTGTTTACTTTGGTATCTTTATCTTACTCGTTCTTTCTGATGTCTCTCAGTGGTGCCATTCTTTTGTGCAGGCCAGATGTTCCTCGTTGCGGCAGCACTCCAACATTGACACCCATCAGAAAGCAGCCTGACTGGCGGTGAAATTTCATATGTACCTAGGCTTGGGGCCTTTTGTTAATCATTTCTTTGTTTCTGTAATTTATTGACCAATACATTGTCTAGGAGATGCTTTTAATTTTTTTTGACAATGTGTTATACACGGAGCATTACTGGTAACGTTTTATGAACTTTCTGATAAGTTAAAGTTCTGCATTTTACAGAGACTCTTGACAGCCTTTGAAAAATCAGGTCGTCTTCGTCAAAAAGTGCATTTTACCTGTGAAAAAATATTCAATTTATAACTGCTGCTGTGAGACAAAGGGCAGAAGTGTCATTATCTGTGTTATGCCCAAGTTGAAGCAATGACATTATTACACCTTTTGGAGCACCTAATTGTTTAAGGTGTTATATGCAGAAGTATACTGGATAAGGTACGAAATGTGATTAATTTTCTTTGGAGTAAGGGACAAATACCCATTGAAATCCGCATTGAAATACTGCTCACATATGGGGAAAGACGTCTCGCTTTGAGAAGTGAATTATGACGTTGAGCCAAGTTGAGGCAGTAGTCCGATGCTGTATTCAGAATCAACTGAACAAGTTCAACCACAGGGCATTTGAAGTGTCACGCTATGATAAGCTAAATAGATGAGCTGGGGGGAAAACTATGTGAACAAGTAGTACAAGGAACAAAGAATGGTACTTGTTTTTGTGGTGCAGGTGTTAGGTAAAGTGCAGGTGTTATATGGCAGCCGCATACAGCTCTTACATGGTAGATTATTATATGTGGGGCTTTGAATCTTTTCTGTTCCCCATTTCAAAGGCTTTGCAGCCTGTGGCTTTCGTATTGCGTATCTTTTATTGTATGTCTGTATTGCGTGATTATGTACTTTATTTTGGCTAATAAAGACAATAGAGCCATGGACACCTTGTTTTTTGGTTTGGTATTTTAAAACTGCATATTGTGGGCATTCAGTATACTCATCCTCTTTATCTGTACATTATCATCATTATCGGTTCATCATAGCTGCTGGCTGCTGGGTCGTCGGGCCTAATAAGAAGTCACCCCATACATGCTGGAGGGTGCTCTTCGATTCCCCCTCCCATCATCTCGACTGCTCTACCTCCTGGAGCTTCGTTAAGGTCGGTGCTTGGGCCAAATGTTTGGAAATATGTTGCAGCGCAGAGATGGAAGTGTTGCGCCAATTGCGTCAGTCTGCGCAAATCTGACCTGCTGCGCCTAGCTGCGTCGAAACGACAATTTACGCGTGCAATGCCCTATTTAGTCGAGTTTTGTCATCGACCGAGAAACACGCGTGGGCTACACAAAGGACGCAACCGCGTCCATATCAAACTAGTTCGGTCACGTCGTATTCATACATAAATCCTGCGTCACGTGAACAGAATGCGAAAAAAAAAAAAGAATATGTTTCATGAGCTAAACTGTTAGTCACTCTAAAAACGACAGTGATGTAGAAAAAAAAACAAATGCCACACTGTTGCCAAGCGACCGCCAAGCACAGCACTCGCTCTGTGGTGGAGACCGTCAAACCACATAAACTGAGAAAAATAAAAATCAGTTTCACCGGAAAGCGATGGCTCAATAGCAACAATTTGTGATGTCCTAATGGCAATGCCGCACGTGCTCTTTTTTATATTTGTTATCGCACCATTACGCGTATGACGCTCCCGTGCGCCAACCGCGCCCTAATGACTGGTAACCATCTAGTTAATCTCGGAACCTTCCCATGAAACGACACCCACAATGGGTGCATTAGAGCCTTGTACTGAAACTTGCATGGCCGCTAACGATACCACTAGAATATTCAATGGCACATGTAATATGCCGACGCACTTCGCTGCTAGGCAGATTACCGATGGCGTATGTTTGCTGCTATCAGTCTACAGCGTGTATTGCTTGTAGAGTGACGTTTCGTTTTCTGGGCACAGGTAGGTTCGCCCACTTAAAAAGTTCACTCACGAAAACAGCGGCTGCTGCTTTTGCCAACATCACGACCCAGCGACCCCACCGTGGTGATCTAGTGGCTAAGGTACTCGGCTGCTGACCTGCAGGTCGCGGAATCGAATCCCGGCTGCTGCATTTTCGATGGAGGTGAAAATGTTGTAGGTCCGTGTGCTTATCATATTCAAGTGCACGTTAAAGAACCCCAGGTGGCCGAAATTTCCGAAACCCTCCACTACACATCGTCTCTCATAATCATGTGGTCCCAGATGGCATTCCACAGGCCCAGATGGCATTCGAATTATCCTTATAAAGACATCGGGTCCAAAGTCTAAGCAAACTTTGAGAGAGGCAGTGAGAAAAATAATAATCGATGGTGAAGTCCCCCATGGTTGGAAACTTAGCAGGATGAGCATGATCTCTAAAAGAAAGGGAGACAAAGCTGACATAAACAACTACCGTCCTATAACAGTGACATCAGTGGTCTACAGGCTGACGATACAGATTTTAAAGGAAAGACTGCAGGCATGGATAGAGGATGAGGGGGTGCTGGGGAACTGCAAAATGGGTTTCTGAAATACAGGAGGTTGGAAGACAATCTGTTCTCACAGACGCAGTGCATTGAAATAGCAGAAAAGGAACACAGGCCCCTGTGGCTAGCATTTTCGAATATCAAGGGAGTGTACGATAGCGTGGTTCAAGAGGACTTGTGGGAAATACTGGACACACTAGGTGCGGAAGATCGAGTCACTAATCTTTTAAAGGATAACTATGAAGGTAACAAGGTAGTTATAAAGTGGGAAAAACGGGTATCCAAGCCCACATAGGTAAAATGAGGGCTTAGGCAGGGGTGTCTACTGTTCCCCTTGTTATTCATAATGTACATACAAGGAATAGAGGCCAAATTAGAGAGAAGTGGACTTGGCTTCAACCTTTCTTTCGTCAAACAAGGAAAACTCGTAGAACAGGCACTACCAGCATTGATGTACACAGATGATATAGTGCTAATGGCCGACAACAAAGAAGATTTGCAGAGATTGATGGACATCTGCGGCAATGAGGGAGATAGGTTAGATTTCAGATTCGGTAAGGAAAAATTGGCAGTCACGATTTTTAATGATAATGAAGGTAGTGAGCTTAAAATACTGGAGGTCACGCTAGAGATAACAGATAAATACAAATATCTGGGCGTATGGATAAGCAATGGGACCGAGTACCTAAGGGAACACGAAATATATGTGACGACTAAAGGTAACAGGAATGTAGCAGTGATGAAAAATAGGGCACTGTGGAATTACAATAGGTATGATGTTGTGAGAAAAATATGGAAAGGGGTCATGGTTCCTGGTCTGATGTTCGGCAATGCAGTCTTGTGCATGAGATCAGTAGTTCTAGCAAGATTAGAAATTAAGCAACGTGGAATAGGTAGGCCTGTCTTAGGAGCTCACGGGAATACACCAAATTGGGGAGTACAAGGCGGTATGGGATGGGCATTGTTTGAGGGCAGGGAAGCTAGCAGCAAGATAAAATTTGAGAAGCGATTGAGAGAAGTGGGGGAGGTGTGTTGGGCTAGGAAGGCTTTCAGCTACTCTTGCATGGAGAATGTCGATAAAAAAAATGGATGAAGCGAATCGGAAAATTGACGGGTAAATACTTAAAAAACAGCAGGCGGCCGAACCGAAAAGAATTCTCGGTTAAGAAGGTGAAGAAAGCTGAGACTGATATGTGGTGAATTGGCATGATTAAGAAGCCCGCACCAGAGATCTATTGAAGTTTTAAGCAGGAAATTGCCAAGGAAAACATCTATAATAATAATCGGGGTGGTTCTCCACTGTTTGAGGCCAGGACGGGAGTATTGCGAATCAAGACATATCGGGCCAAATACGAAGGGGTAGACACGGTATGCAGTGCGTGTGGAGAGGAGGAGGAAACTGCCGAACACTTGATAATGTTATGTAAATGGCTTTACCCTATAGTTCAGGATGAAAGCGCAGAGTTTTTCAAAGCACTGGTGTTTAGGCACTGGGAGGGCAAAATAGATGTTAAGTGGGTATAATTAACTAGAAGGAGGTTATCTGATTGGTGGCTAAAGTCAAGGCACGAGTGAAACTTAAACTCTTCACTGCAAAGTACCAGTCCTCAACTTCACTATGTAAAGGAAAAAGAAAATAAGTCTAGGTTTTGGTTCACTAGATATTACGGCTTGGTTGCCTTAGCCACCGCCCGATCTAAAGGGTACAGCCATATCAATCAATCAATCAATCAATCAATCAGTCCGTCGTCCGTTAGAGAAAACATTCAGGGGGTACTCTTTGACAGGTGGTATAGACAGGTACGATTCCAAAGTGGTACCAGTATCTAAGACAAGTAAAGTTCGGAGCTGAAATCGACGTAGCCATGGGGGCCGAGTCGATTCAGATGTAGGGTATATTAACATACAGGCATGGCAGAAATAGGCTGAAGTGAGAAGAGATAGAAGAACAGCTAAGGGAGGAGAGGCCGATGGTATGTGGTTTTGTAGAAACACATCTTAGGGACATAGTAGTATGAGGTAATAATTAGCGGTGTGTTGTGTGTGGCACAATTAATGCGGCTGATGCAGAGCAGCGTGGCCAGTTCCCGACCCGTCAACTAACGAAGCTGATCCGTTCTGCGAAAGGCCAGTACGGGAGACATGCGCACGGGAAATAAAAGATACTCGTTCGTTCACACGATTCACGAGTGGAGCGGTCAATGTCACCCCCGTTTGGGACTAGAAGGGGAGGGCTTACTTGGAAGAGCGTCTGGCAACAAGCAGGCGAGGCGCCGCCGTCTGAGTTTAAGTCATTGTTGGCATGCACGTGTGTTGATTATGCCGTTGGAACGCGACCACTGCGCTGACCATGGTTACAGCGCAGAGATGAGCATATCCTCCCTTGCTATACGTCATTACCGAGTGTTGTTAAGATGGCAGGGTGCCTCGCTGTCGCATGCACACCTGGCAAGCGCACAGGGCCAGACGGTGTAATTTCTGCGCTAAGGGGTAAAGGGTACAGCCATAAAAGGCTCAGCTTCCTTCACCTTCTTCTTAACCGATAATTCTTTTTGGTTTGGCCCCCTGCTGTTTCCTAAGTATTTACCCGTCAATTTTCCGGTTCGCTTCGTCCATTTTGTATCGACATTCTTCATGTACAAGTAGCTGAAAACCTCCCTAGCCCAAGGCTCCTCCCCCATTTCTCTCAATCGCTTCTCAAGTTTTATCTTTCTGCTAGCTTCCCTGCCCTCAAATGATGTTACCCCACACCACCTTATACTCCCCGATTTGGTGTATTCCCATGAGCTCCTAAGGCAAGCCTACCTATTCCACGTTACTTAATTTCTAATCTTGCTTCAACTTCTGATTTCATGCACAAGACCGCATTGCCGAACGTCAGACCAGGAACCATGACCCCTTTCCATATTCCTCTCACAGCATCATACCTATGTAATTTCCCGCAGGGGCGCCTGCGCAAGTAGGCGTTTGGTGTGTAGCGATACCACAGACCCGAGCTAACGGGCGAGTTTTGACTCCCTCCCACGCCTAGCCGTGCGTGGCTTTGCCGTGTCCGGGGAAAAGAAAATCCGGGGGGTTGAGCTGACGCTGGGTGATTGGACGTTTAAGGCAGAGGCAACACACCCCTTTAGCCCCGGCTTCACATAGACGGCACCCCTGGGCTGGCCGACCCAGGGGAAATCGGCAGTCGCCTTTTCCTGTCTCCTTCTCTCTCTCCATCTTCGTCTTTTCTACTACTTTTGATCTCTCCTGTCCTCTCCTCACTTCTTTTTACTTCCACAATTCTCGGTGGCAAGTGTTAACCTGGTGTAGATATCCAACCTTGGGTAGATATATTAGGTTATAGCGGCCATGTACGGCTGGCGCCTGCGTCTCCTTCGCGTCTCGCAGCGTCCCCTTGTTGGGCTCGGTGGTGGGTGGCTGGCATGGC